CAACAACAACAACGGGTGTCTGTGTAGGGGGGCTCTTTAAACATCCTATACTTGACTGGGTGGATTCTGTAAAGGCAGGGCCCACCTCATGGGGAGGGGGAATATGGGGCAGCCAGTTTCTCAACTGCTAAAAAGAGTAATCTGCAAAAGACCTTGAGGCAATTCCTGTGGGCTCAGAATACAGTAGGAGAGAACAAGAGAGGTCTCCTGGTAGCACCCGATGGAGGGAAACATGCTAGTTGGATCACCAGATCTCCAACTGGAGTCGCTGTGAACAAATCTGCCATCTTCGGTCTTATTTTTTCTACCTGCAAAATTGAGATTTGTTTTCTTTTAATGCATTACAAGAAGTGTTACCCCTTTCCCCCCCAAGTAAAACATTTGCTGAAGATGCCTTAACAGCATTAGAAATGTTATCAGTAAAACCATCAATCATGTGACATTTCTTCCATCTCCACAGGCCTTTCGGTCCAAACAAACCTGGCTAAGATGCTAGTCCTTGTTTTTCTGCACCAGCCAAAGCTCAAGCCTGAAACTTGTTTGAGACTTATTTGAATCATGCAGTTTAGCATATGCTTTCTTTGCATAATTTGTTCTGTTTCTGCTGCCAAGGCGAAAGGGGAAAGAATTGGGGCCCTGCCTCCAATTCGGGTTCAAGCAGGATTTTTTAAAAAGAGAAAGCTGAGATGTGCAGCACACCAAGTTCTTGGGCTGTCTGCCCAGTGCTGTGATGAGTACTTATAAATGATCTGGGTAGTTATGGTGAATGCTATTGGTGATGCAACAGGCTTAGCAGCCTGTTAAAAGTTTCTGGGAATACCACAACTAAAGCTAGGATGTCAGTGTTCCCTCTAAGCTGAGTTAGCGTGAGCTAGCTCACAGTTTTTTAGCCTCCAGCTCACACATTTTTGTCTTCGCTCAGGAAGGATGGCTCCAGAGCAAACTAATGTATGCAGTAGCCAAATTGCTCGCTCACAGCTTTAATGCCAGTAGCTCACAAAGTAGAATTTTTGCTCACAAGACTCCACAGCTTAGAGGGAACACCATTGTGAGGTCTGGAAGGAACCCTCCTTCCCTTGAAAATCAGCCTGGCCAGTGATTCAACTACAGATGTAATGTTTGCTTCCGCTGTATTATATATTTGGCTCATTCACTTGAGCTATCGTCTTTGCAGATGCCTTTTGTCTTGCATACCGCCTGGTCTCTCATTTTAACTGATTGGTTGGGATTGTCTAGGGTGGCCTGTGGTGCACAGTCCTACCATGTGCTGGGAGATTGGACAGTGGCTCTTTTTTGTGTCTATCTGATTTGCACACTGGGCTCATTGCAGAGGGGAGGTTGTACTGCATTCTGCTCTTCATCCTGTGTTGAGCCTACAGGATCGGATAACTCAGGCACACCTTCAGAGAAAAGGCGGCATTGAGGAAAGATGTGATAGGGGTGCTTGAAAGTGCGGGCTCAGTGTTGTCTGACAAAATGAACCGGCGTTGCATATAGGATGATCTAAAGAGTTCTTTGTGGAATGCGTAATTTGTTGCCACAGGATGCTCACATCAGTAGCTTTTCAGACAGGCAGATAAAGCATGGTGGTCAATGTTTCAGAGGCGAGTAATCAGGATAGAGCAGCCAGAGGCAGTGGACGCTGGTGGGTAAAGCAACATGCCCTGTTTTTGAGTTTCTCGGGAGCACTGGCCACTGGCAGAAGTAGAATGTGGGGCTAGAAGGAGCATGTTCTGGTCCAGCAGGATACCTCACAGGATGCCTCAGCTATTGGACTCAACTGCCAGACAGTTCTGACCTGTTTCTGTGTTGCCTCTACAGCTTTCTGCATGAGGCAGCTACTTGGGAATATAGCTCAGGAGGCAAGGGAAAAGCTGAGCCCCCCCCCCCCGAGAAGACTTCCAGTAAGGGAGCACCCTCCCATGATGACCCCCCCCTTGTGATCAGTGCATGAACTCTGGTACAAGGGAAAAGGAAGGGTGCATTTTTGAATAATATTCCTCCCCCCTTCACTTCCCAGCTAGCCGGTTTTGTTCTTACTGACAGTAAGTCAGTAAAAGAAGCTGAAACTCTCCCTCCTCCCTCTACCTACCTCCCCCCCCCCAATAATGTAAATGGAAAATCAACTCACCCTCTTTTCTGTGTGAAATGCTTAGCGAATGGGGTTGCACACCTTATTTTTAATTTATTTTTAATAAATGCTAACGATCTTGTTTGCTTGGTCCATCTGTGTGCCAAGACTTAATTCTCTTGTTTACTCTGACGTGAATCTGAAGCCAAGCCCTTGGGGAGATGCCACTTTTGTTTAGACCAGATCTGGGCATACCCCAAGTCCACGTGTTGTTAGACACCAGGATCCCAACATCTCCATTAGCATTTTGTTTATTAATCATGGCGGACAAGTCGCCTTGCCTTCAAATGCGGATTGCCTCCTTACCACCAATAACATTTGGATGTTTCTCAGGAAAGGCACTTTACTGCAAATCTGCCTTGCCCCAGTTGCTTTTAGAGAGGGAAAGACAGATCCTGCATATTATACAGCCTGAGGCAAGAGTTACCCCCCTCCCATGGCCACTTTTTGCAGCAAAGTCCTGAGGATTAAAGAACACTAACCTCACCAATTCTCCGCATGAACTGGGTGGGAGTGCAGCCTAGCAGGCCTAGAAGGCATACAGCAGCCCATATTGCAGGGGAAATTTGGTCATAGAAGAAGAAGAGAAGAAGAGATTGGATTTATACCCCACCCTTCACTACCCAAAGGCATCTCAGAGCGGCTTACAATCTCCTTTCCCTTCCCCTCCCCACAAAAGACACCCTGGGAGGTAGGTGGGGCTGAGAGAGCTCTGACAGAAACTGCTCTTTCTCAAGAACAGCTCTGACAGAACTATGGCTTGCACAATGTCATCCAGCCAGGTGCAAGTGGAGGAGTGGGGAATCAAGCCCGGTTCTCCCAGATTAGAGTCCGCGCACTTAACCACTACACCAACTGGTGGCAAGATGTCTTCAGAAGGTTGTCCTTCCTGAAGGGGCCATGGCTCGGTGGCAGAGCATCTTCTTGGCATGCAGAAGGCCCCAGGGGTTCTATTCCTGGCAGATCCAGGCCATAGGTGATGTGAATGATCAGTGCCTGAGACCCTGGAGAGCAGCTGCCAGTCTGAGTAGACAAGACTGACCTTGATGGACTGATGGTCTGATTCAATACAAGGCACCTTCCTGTGTATATAAGAATGTCTGCCTTGCACCCCATCAGGCCTTTGGTGCATCTGTCTTGTCTACTCTGACTGGAAGTTGCTCTCCAAGGTCTCAAGCAGAGGTCTTTCATGTTACCTGCTACTTGATCCTTTCAATTGGAGATGCTCAGGATTCAATTTGGGACCTTCTGAATGCCAAACAGATGCTGTACCCATCCCCTGGCCCCCAGTATGGAAAACACTGCCTTAAATGAATGAATTCCGCCTTTCAGAATTAGGAGCTAAAGTGCATGAGGATAATGTCAGGTCTTTAGTGGCAAGTGAGATACCTCCTGTCATGATGAAGATAGTGCTTTGAAATAAACCCAGCAGCTACAAGAACTGGAGGTGTCAGGAAAATAAGATAGCAGAAGGCAGAAGATCTAGAACTATTGCACCACAGTTGACTTATAAACAACCGGAGGAAGGAGCAGAGCTTTATACGGATGCAAGGTGTGGATGGTGGTAGCGGGGGGGGGGAGATAAGGAACTGGAGAACAGTTCTAGTGGAATGGAATTAAAGTTTTGGTTATGGCTGGAGGAGGGGAGCAGAGAATCACGATCCTGCAGTTCTAAAAGTCTCGATTTACAGAAAGTCAGAGTGTTCCCCACCTGCCTTCCCGATAGCCAAGTGGCTGGTTGCCTGGGGCAAGTGAGAACCACCCTCCAGGCTGTCAGCCAGGGAAGCTGTGCAGCGGCTTTGTTTTTCTTTGAGGTTACAGGTGTGATGAGCTAGTAAAACTGTGGTGGGCCAGGAACAGGTGCAAGCTCATTTGTACAGCCGATATCGTGGACAAGCTTTGGACCATGGGGGGGGGGGAGATGAAATATCGGTGGGGCAAGGGGTGAGCCTTGTTGCTCTTGCAGCGCCATTGCATGGTGCAGTAGTGAGCAGGCCGGTCGTGCAAGAGGGGGCTGCCAGTTCACAACCAGCCTGCGCTGACTGGAGCAATACTGGGCAACTTCTCCAGAAGGAAAAACGGACAAGGACTCACCGACAGAGCAGCTCCAAACTTTGCTCAAGTGCTTACCACTCTGCAGGCAGAACAGTCCTTTGGGGGGGGGGGGGGGGCAGTAGGTGGCGGGTATGCATCTGCTGGCCATGGCTGGAAACTGGGAATAAGAGTTTCCAGGGAAATAAAGAGCTTCCAGGGAGATCCATCCAGCCGGGGACCCCTGCTAGTCTGCCTGCAGCGGTAGAAGACGGGCAGCGTTTGTGGCCGGGCAGGAGCTTTCCTGAGTCACTGCTGGCTGCTTCCAGGACTAGGGGGAGAGGCGAGCAGCCGCGCAGGCAAGCTAAGCTCCTGCCCTTCCACAAGCGTTGCTCGCCTCGAAGGGGCTCCTGGACTCTTGCTCTTGTCTCCACCGGCTTCCGGCTTCCCCCGTCCAAGTTCGCTTTCTTTGGCCGCTGCACGAGATCCAGAGCTGCGGGGAAGCGAGCGGAGAGTGGCGGGTCGCGGGCGCCTTCCCCCCCCCGTCGCGAGAGCCCCGTGCCTGGCTGGCTGCGAGCCGGCCGGCCTTCCCCTCCCTTCCCTTCCCTTCCCTCCCGCCTGCCTTGCCCGCCCGGCGGCGAGGGGACCGAGGCGGGCAGGACGGGCGGCGGGTCTCTCGCACCTGCCCTGCAGCCAGTAGGAGGGGAGGCCGGGCGGCGGGGCGGGGCCAGCGGGGCCGGCCCGCCTGCCAATCACCTTCACTTTTGACAGCCGGCCGCTCCCCCTGCCTGCGCGCCGCCCGCCGCTGAACTCCCGGGTGCCCCGGCGGATTCCCAGGCAGGTCCGTCAGGAGCCATGCCATCCGGCGCTTGAAGCAACTTGCCACTCGGGGAGCCGTCCGGGGCCATTCGGTATTAATTAAGTAGCATGAAAGTTGACTATTTAAGTGAATTCGGCTTTCGTCTCTCCGACTATGGTAAGTGCCGCACCAGCGTGCTTTTCCCGGGTTCCCCGGCGGGGTGGTCGTGGTGGGGGGGCTTGTGGCTGGTTTGCTTTCCGCCCTTTGACTTTGCAACAAAAAAGAGGGGGGAAGAAACTCCCCCCCACACACACACACACCCTATTCGCCGTCCTGGGCAGTGTTCCCTCTAAGCTGAGTTAGTGTGAGCTAGCTCCCCGTTTCTCTCTTTTGCTTCATTCCCTCTTTCCTCCCCCTCCCCCCGCGAGCGCTTTTCGTCGCCGGCCGGCCGGCCGCCCGCCTGGCCAGTCCCGTCCCCGGTCTGTCCGATTGGGCCGCCCGGTCTATAAATAGTTTCTCTTTTAGTTTAATAAAACCAGCAGGCACAGCTGATCAGCTTCGTGTTTCACTCAGACTTCAAGGTTTGTTTGTTTTTCCCCCTTTCAGTTTAAAGAGAGAGAGATGGGTCTTTTAAGAAAAGAAAAAGTCCCCCACCTTCTTTTTCAGAAAAACTTCTACGAAATTTGTGGCTGTAGCGAGAGAAAGAAGGTTGGAAGTGTGTGTGTGTTGACTTGGGGGAGTTCGTTTGACCTACGTGATGGATCACTTGTCACTTTGATAAGTAAAGGGGGGGGGGAGTTGTGATCGCTTCTGCTTCATGTTAACTTCCAGAAGGACTTTTGGAAAAGAGAGAGATGCTCAGGGATGTTGCAGACTGATGACCCGGAGGATGGGAGGGGGCCAGGCCGGCTGGGGAGGGGGGGGTCAGGTGCGGCGCTAGGTGACAGCCGGAATCTGGTTTCACTTTTCTTTTGGTGCTTCTACGGAAGTCGTCTCCTCGCGTTCTCCCGAACACCCCCCCCCCCCCCAGCTTCATATTTTTGGGGAGAAAGGAAAAGAGCTGGGGAGGGGATCCCTCTGAAGAGGGGCACACTGTTGATCCCAGATCTGTTTGCATTGTTGTTAATGAGAGCTGGGCATTGTGTGAGGCCCCACGGAGGGGGGGGGAGTGACAGCATACAAAAAAGGAGGAAGTTTACGGGGATTTTAAATGCATTTGTCTTTCTTTCTTTCTTTTTGCTGTGAAGTGTTTGTTTTCTTCCTTCAAATATTATTCCCCCCTCCCGTTTAATTATTTCCCCCTTTCTTTCTGTAAGCTTCTGCCATCCTGTCCGTAAAGGTTGCTTGTCAGGTTCCCAGCACGCTGTCTAAATGAAAAGGAATTTTAATTTATTTGGGACAAGCCGGTGACGGATGAGGAGGCTGCTCATTACATTTAATGAGTCTTTTCTCGCACCTTGGCTGGATCTGGGAGGGGATTGTTTTCTTCTTTTTCTTGTGAGATCCATGGGGGGGGTCCCATTCTGGCTCCACCTCCCCTCTTTGCTTTTGTTTATGAGGCAGGGCAAGGGGGGCATCAGAGGCCACAGGAGAGCTTGGAGGGAGAGAGGGCTGTTCCTCGCTGAGGTTCCCACGACTCAGGCCTAGAAGTCTGGTCTGGAGTGGAGGGGGGGGGGCACTGTGGCCTGCCATCAAACTACTTCAGGCAGAGCGATACATAGGCCTGTGCACAACCCGGGATCATGGAGCAGTGACTTAGAGTCCACCCAAAGCTTATTAGAGGTGTCGTTTGGGTTTGTCATGGAGGATTGGGAGCAGCATTTGTAAGCTTAAAGGGTGCCAAGGTTTACATTTCACTGCCCTTTCCTGGAATTTAGAACTGGCAGGTACAGAGGAACCCCCTCGGACACATATACCCCCGAGATTGGATTCGTGCCTCCATAAACACAAAATTTCACCTCTTCACACTGTGTTAATTAATCCAGAACAGCTGCCACTTCCTGGTTCCCGGCTCAGTATTGACATATGCTGGGGTGGGTGGGTTTAGGCCCCCTTTTAAATGCACATGCAGGGGAAAAGGGAGCTGAAGTGTGCCTGCGTGGAGTGAGTTTACTAAGGTTCTCATCACCGTGAACATTTTGCACTCACAAACGAGTCACCGTTGTTATCTGTGGGGCAGCTCCCCCCCCCCGGGATCTGGCATGTTTGAAACCCTTTCTGTGGCTGTAATAAAATAGTTGATGATTGACTGGCCTCAACTTTGCACCTGTTATTTTGGTCTAAAAAAGAATGAAAGGTGTTTTTTTTTTAAATTTAAGGTTAAAAAAAATATTGGTTTATTCTGCCAGGAATTAAAAGCATCAGGAAGGGTTTAATGTGCTTTGTTCTGAAATGTTGGTCTGGAATGATCCAGTCTTGGGTGTGTTTTTGTTCTTTATTAGGTCAAGGGCTTTAAATGCGTAGGCTTGATATGTATTTGTTAAGGATGTGGCTGTGTTTTGTTTTCCTCTAGGAGGTTGGAATTTTTAATTTAAAGGGAGAAAAGGGTTTTCCTCTCTTAAAGTACTATTGGAAAAGCTTAATTATTCAGGTTCAAAACAATGTTAGCCATGTTTTCCAGCCCCAGTGGGTTCATTTCCAAAGTCTCTCTGTTTCACTAAAGCCCCATTTTGGGAAAGCAGCTCCCCCTGCTGGTGGGAGCTATACTATTCTCTCCAATAAACTCTCCCTTGGGGAATGGGTCAGTGGGATTCCTTTGGTGTACCATTGTCACTGCAGTCATCCTTTGGCATTTAATATTGAGCTAAGAAAGGCCGGAAGTTTGTTGGCCCTTCCCCCCCAGCCGAGCTGCAATGCACGTGAAGGCATCCTCTGTGCATGTGCAGGCAACTTGGATCATCGCTACTCATGTAGGGAAGTCTGGGACACTGGCTAAGCCATGGAAATGAGCATCTGGGAATTGTGTTTAAGTCAGCATTACAGTCTCCGTGTGGGTGAACCCGTCCGTTGTGTTCTGGGGCCAATGGCCTCGCTCCATCGGAACGCTTATCTCTCGTCAGGACCTGCCGATCTGCTTGAGTCATTGTGACACAGGTTCTCTCAATACCCTTTGAGCCATACCTGAAAAAGTGTCAGGTAAGAGAACGAAAGGCAGAAGCGTTTGCCTTGCAGTATACTGGTTGCATTTAGGGTCCATAGGTAATCAAGATTGCTTAAAGTGGGATTTGTCGGCTTCCTTTTGCACGAATCATCTCAGCAGTCGGAGGCATCAGTACTTCTGTGGAGGAACTTCAGGCGTCTCTCTTCTGTAGTGCTTGCACACTTTCTATGAACAATCGTTGCTTTTTCTTTTCAAGAAAGATCACGTTGAGTAGCAGGGAAGGATTGTCCTGGACCCTCTGCTTTCCAGAGGAGAGACAGACTTCCTCTCTCTGTAGCTGATACCAGTGCTGCAGTGCAAGGCGGAGCAGGCCCATCTCTAGTAAGTCATGTAAACAAACAGAAGCCACATGAAGTCCACCCCATCCCTTCAAGGAGTTACGTGCTTGGCAAACAACATTTCCACCATCTCCGTGGCGTAGACTGCTGAAGTTCTTCATCCTATGATTCACTCTGTTTTGGGTACATTCTTGATTGCCATTAACAGGACAGATGAGTTTCTTGTCCTTGTGGCTGTCATGCTAGGCATGGAAGTCTGTGGGCAACTCCTGGTGGTATCGCAGAAGCCTGAAGTGTGTTGTGTAGAATTTCTGTTGGTTGGGGGTGGCACTTCAGGGCCTTTAATTCATTGCCTCATCCCAGGACTAGGGGAAGCAAGAGTAAATTATGCAAATTAAATGAACACAGGTGCTTAACTTCAGTGGGGCTTGGGAGCCATCTTTTGCCAAGGCAGAATTTGGGTCACCTTGACAGTGTTGAACTGATGTGCCTCCCCTTTCTTGGTGGCTTTTCCATAGGAAACTGTCTTTTTCCTTCATAGTACAACCGAAGGCCTTTCTCTTGGTAACGTTAGGCCTCTCGGGGATTATCACTTGACAGAAGGACGAGTGGCTCAGTCGTAGTGCATGCGTGTTGCATGTGGAAGGCTCCCGGTTCAATCCCTGGCATTTCCAGTTAAAGGGTCCTGAGTGGCAGGTGCTGAGAAGACCTTTGCACAATACCTTGGGAAATTGCTGCCAGTCAGAGGAGATAGTCCAGGTCTAGATGGAACCGTGGTCTCATTCGGGAGAAGTCGGCTTCATACGTTCAAACACCAAAGCAGAGAGCGTGCATTGCATGCAAGCGGTCCAGGCTGGCTTGAAAAGAGTTGCTTAGCTATGGGAAGTCAGGATCTCCTGCATGTGAGCAGGCAGGGACACTTTATAAGAGTTAATTCTTTGTTTCTTGTAGAACACAAATAAAAGCTGAGAGGGTGGGTGAGTTATTAAAGTGTTTATGGGGTAGTAGTTCCTTTCTTTCTTTCTTTTAGAAATCCAGAGATAGCAGTTTCATACTGTTTCACTGTTTTGTTTTTAAAGTTCCTTAGCACAGGATCAAGAGTGGGAAATCTGAGGGTGACTTTAAGCACTAAATCTTACAGGGCAGCATTTTGTTAAGAGCTGCTATAACTTTTATCCTGATCCCTTCTCTTTAAGAAAAGAAAGATTTCCTGAAGTGATTTTGCTTTTCTTCCTCTGTCTCGTCCACTTCTATGGGGAAGACTCCGAACAATAGGAACCCATTTCAGATATGTGGGTCTCTTTTAAATTCAAGCACCCTGCTACGACATTAGCTCTCTTACCTTATCCCGTCCACTGCATATTTAAGTCCAGCCGAAAAGCTTTCCTCCTGCCCATGCTTTGATTTTAGCAAACCAAAAGCAGAAAGGCATTCCTGTCTCGGTTCAAGTCCAATTGCATCTTAGAGACCAACATGATTTTGGAAGGGTAAGCTTTCCAGAGTCACAACTCCCTTCTTGTTGGTCTCAAAGGTGCTACTGGAATTGAATCTTGCTCAGACCAACATGACTACCCTATCTTGGAAGGCATTACCCAGAATAACCCTCCTCATGGCCTGTCTTGTTTGAACTTTGTGAACATGGATGAGTGGCACTGGTCGGAAATACTATTTTTCATTTCCGTTCTGCTTGTCCTCGACCATGAAACTCAAAAGTGTCTTTATTTATTTAATCACTATTA